ACCTGTGTGGGCCTCGGCGGCTCCCTAAGCCGGGTCCCAGCAAAGCGAGGTGGTGCAGGGTGCAGGCTGTGCCCCTCCAGCCGGAGCGCTCACTGACACCTCCACTCCCAGGCTGGAATTGGCAGGCACTGGTCTCAGCTGTCACAGTCAGCGTGTCCGGCCCTGACCACAGCCTGTCATGTCCCCGTTCTACAGGCAGCTGAGCCCAGTCTGGGCCGTGACTGCCTTGACAGCAGAATAGGGGAGGGAAGGGAGCGAACCCATTTTTGCAGAAGACACAAGCTGGAGATCCTGGAGTGAGGAAGGACCTTGTGGGCCCTGAGTGCCCCTCTGGACAGAGTGCCTCTCTGGATAGCCTGCCCTGGCTGTCTAGTCTAGAGCCCAAGGGCCATGGCTGCCAGGCATGTGGGTGGCTTGGGAAACTGGCCCGACCCCCTCATGACTGCGATGCCATCCGTGAGGGGTGTGCCCCAGCCGTCACCTCAGGATGTTGCATGTGACAGGGAGCTGGGGGACCACAGGCTGTGGGGGGGGGCCTCTGGGAAGCCCCCTGGGACCTTTGCCACCATCAGTCCAGGAAGGCACAGCCAGACTCCCCTGATGCCGGGTGTCCTCCCTGAGGGCTCTGGTTTTGTCCACATAGCAGTCCTTCACAGTGGCCTGTCCTCAGGATAGCTGTGGGGGCTCCAGGGAGGGACGCCTGGCAGGGTGGGCAGTGCTGCCAAGGACAGAATCCAAAGCTGAAGGAGAGAGGAAGCCCCTACGCTGGAGAGCCTGAGGCCGTGAAGGGTCCCTCTTCCTCTGGGTACAGTGCAGCCTGGGTGGGGGAGCTAGGTATGGAGTCCTGCCAGCGCCACCCTCTCCCCGAGGAGCCTCTGTGTCCCTCTCAGCATCAGGTTAACTGTGGCTTGGCTGAGTCTCTGTCTCCCCACCTGGATGGAAGCAGGCAGTGAGGGGAGAGGAGGGGGCAGGTGGGTCAGAAAAGGCAGAGCTCCCCCCGCCAGGGTCCCGGAGGGGAAGGAGGACCAGTGTGTGAGGCCGCCTGCATGTGGGGGCTGCGTGTGGGCCTGGGGTGGTGGCCCAGGATGGGGGTGGGTGGAGGACAGCAGTGGGCTGCTGCAGGGACAGGAAGGACAGGCTTCGCCCCTGAGCTTCCTGCACACTATTTAAAGACCCTTTTAGTCTGGGATGGTGGCCTTCCCACATCTTTGGTATTAAAATGCCCTTCTGTGACACAATACTTGTTTTTCAACTTCCTTTTTTGATGAAAAAGTTGGCATCCCTGTCAGATCCTGGTGACTTTAGGGTCCTCTGTGATGGGGGGTTGGGTGGGCTGTGGTGTGGATTCAGTTCAGGGCTGAAGGCGTGCTGTTTTGGCCTGGCTGGCTGGGGATGTGAGGGCAGCAGGAAATTAATGAGTGACCCTCCCTGAGGGTTTCTTAGCATGGGGGGCAGGTGGCGGGGTGGCGGGGGAGACAGGAGGAAGTGGGCAGGGAGGGGGAAGTCTGGGTGGAGGGGAGGTCCCCAGGAATGGAGATGGCGTCCCAGTCCCTGGGTCCCCAGCTGCTGCTCACTGCACCATCTTGTGCAGGGAGACTTCACGAGAGGCAGCAGGAGCACACAGGAGAGCTGGCCCCATGGGGTTCCCCACCTCTGCTCAGGTCTTGGGCTCAGGGACTTCAGGACCGGGCAGATAGAGGCTGGAGTGGCCAGAAGTGGGATAAGCTCTAGTTCAAAGCTGGAACCCCAGTGGAGAGGGTGGGTCTCACCACCCTACTCCACGCACTGAAAGACAGGTTGATGGGTCCTGGGTACAGGTCGCCAGAGGCCATCCAGGGTTGTGGGGAGAAAGGCAGCTAGAGGCCAAGGATGTGTTGCACAGGGGCTAGGGCAGGAGCCCTCTTCCCCTAGGAGGTTGTGGAACAAGGCCCAGGAGACCCCAACCCACAAAATGGCATGGGTGCGGCCGGCCTGTTCTCCAGTCTGAGTGTGGGGGTACCGATGGGTCACCTGTCTCCGGAGAGAACCCCGAGGGAGCGGGGTGGGGAGGACCTGGGTCTGCTCGGCGCGCTCCTGTAGGGCCCAGACCTGGGCTCCCCTGGGGCGAACCTGGACCCGAACCGGGGAGACCCTAACCGGCGACGTGGCGCGCCCACTGTGGCTGCTGGGTGCCGAGGATGCGGGGGACGCGTGGGGAGGGCCCAGCCCTGTGGGTCCCCCTTCCC